ACGTGTTAATCCAAATAACTAATTTTACCCTAAAACAGCCTGATTGTACAGCAAGTGTCAACTGAACATGTGATAATGCAGTCTGACCACTCTAATGTGACTGCAACTACGTAATCGTAAACTTGATGTTTACATTTTTTTTTGTGGGAACTCATCGCAACTGATTTCCGAACAAGCTTCACTGCATACTGATCAATCCAACATACCGGAAACCTTACTTTTTCACATAGTTGGCCGAAGACTGACAAATATATTAAATGAAAGAATTTAAATCTAAATGTGTCGGCAAGATCTTCTGAAGGCATAAATTTTGCTACTGAAGCGTCGCCAAAGATCTTGCTATATTCATCCACTCTCTGCACAGTGGGCTCTGTATAAATGTATGACGGTAAGCCAAAGTTTACACCACATCAATAATTGATTAGTCTCGTTATGTCTCGTTAAAATGGCTGTAAATTCCGGGAAATTTCAAGGTACCTATTTTAACCGGGATGTCTCGTCTCGGTATCATCCCGGAATTCCAACGGATGGCTAAAAATTGTCCCGTTTTTTATTGCGAACCGGGACAGAGCCTGTTGTTTCATCTCGTCTCGTCTCGGATTAAAAAAAAAACCAAACGCAGGAGTCTAATATATACCATATTTTGATGATTGGATTTTTTTTCATCCATATTTTGAAATATTTTTCCATATCTATGTATACCAATATTTTGACAAGTTTTGCTGCTACATTTCTACAAAATGTGGGACGAAAATCTTGATTTACCTTGCTTGTCCATTTTTATCCCGTTTGCGCAAGCATGGAAAACATCTACTTTAATCGCCATGACTAGAGCTTTCCCACCATTTTTGAAACTGCAAGATTTCTGCCAGATGAATTACCTCTCAACTAATTGTTAACAATAGTGCACAAGTGGGCCGTGAGATTCCCATCATCCCATGTGTAACAAATTTGTCATGTTGGACAGTTGGAGCTGTGAGATTTCAGAAACATATTGGAAAATTCCAATCCTGCCTTCATGGTTCGAACTTCAAAATTCAAATAGTGGCAAAGTTGAGTTTCTTTAGACTATCTTTCAAGATCAGGATTGGAATTTCCTATTGGAGGTAAGAGGTAACTCAGGTAACTCATCTAGCGGAAATCTTGCAGTACCGGAAATGGCGGAAAACCTCTGGTTACGCCCTAAAATTAGATGTTTTCCCATGCTTGCTTCAGCCTTCAAGTTCAATTTTAAGTCCTATAAGGCTAGGTATAACAGTATAACTATAAGTAGGTAAACCAGCAATCCAGCATCATTATGCATACAAATGATACAATATTGGTTTAAATCTTGAGTAGGCTAAATGAGAAAATGAACCGATTCTAAAAATTTACTGGTTTGTCACTATGCGGTTTGACAGAATACAACCTCAATTTTAAAGTTTGGCATAGGCCACATGGCAATGTTACAAATCCTAGACTAATTTTAATAATTTAATTAATTAGAGATCAAAATAGGCTTATACCTTGAGCTTGAAGTTGATATGATAAATTTAATAACTAAATAAATCAAATGTTTTTATGCAAGAAGATTGGGATTTCGGAGAAATAAGAAGCATGAAAAGAGTAGAAAATTCTTACATAACATTGAGAACAGACTGAACAGTCAACTGTAAAACAGTGGTTGGTTACAATAAATTAAATTGTAGCAACAATTCAAAAAAGTTTAAACCTAACCTAACCTAACGGTCCTAACCTAACCTACAGTCTACAGAGAAGTTGAGACTTGAGAACTAGTATGGAATATATCTACTTGGCGAGCCACGACTGAATTTTTCGAGCCGTGGTTTTATGGATTTGCCAGCCGTGATTCCACTGTCTCTTATACACATCTAGATGTGTATAAGAGACAGGTCTACAGCTATTAATTTGCAAACTACCGGATTTGTCAGGACGTTGAAACTGTTCTCGTAATTTAAGCTTTGATTCCAATCTGTATCCATATTTCATAATAGTAATAGGTACCTGTTTGTACTAATGTCATTTCAAAATTTCAAATTCAGTTGTTACAAAACTCTTCCTATACTTGATAATGAATGAAGTTGCATTCAAAACATCGTAAAATTATAATAAAATGTCCATTGGAAACCTGATATTTGATTTTCACTTCCTATCATTACTATCAAGAGCCTAATTTGCCAAATTGAGAAAAATAATAAGAAAATTGTCAATAAGAAATACTCTCTGGTCTTCAATGAAACCTGCACTAGGTATCTAGACTAGATTTGTGCATGAAGTTTTGCCTTTGAGTTTTTTGTAGTAAAGAAGAAATCATGCTACAAAAAATTTCTTGCAATTGACACTTGACAATTAAGGTAATTTAATGCACAAGTTGCCAAACTTGCCATTGATTGCGTGCAAATTTAAATTGTTCTTCAATAAAAATGAAATAAGATTGTTAACAATTAGGCTAGGCTACATCATGTTTTATTTGTATAAATGGATTGATTTATTGTTGACGTTGTGTGCAGTGTAGGCTAGGCTCAAGCCTCAATCCATGACAAATTTGATGGTATAGGCCTAGTAATAGTACCTAAAGACAAAGAGCAGAAGCATTGCTTGTATAATGCTTTAATTATATTTATGAATTTATTTTACAAAGAAAACTTGCATTTTTACTGCTCAATTTGATTACTTTTTTTACCTTGGGTTTACAGATTTTAATTTGCAGTTTTTTACTTTAGAGTTCAGATATTATGTATATGACCGCTACATTTTGTAAAATAGCTAAGAATAAATGTTATTCTTCCTAGTTCTTCCACTTCTGAGAGACTGAGATCTTTAATAAAAAATATTAATTGTGATTTTAATTTTATTTTCATTCATTATTATTATATTATTGTAAGATTCAAATTTTGACCATATGTACTTTTATATAAATAAATAAAAGTACGGTACCGTACTACTAATGAAAGAACATGTGGTTAATAAGTAAATAACTGGTATTGATTTCAATTTATAACCTTTCCATGCAAATTTATTAGTAGAGCTCGGAATTAAAATGGAACTTGTTTGAATATATTATTGTTTTATATTTGATTAAATTATTCACATTAATTGTTGGTCCTGAAAATTAAATAAAATTTTGTCTGCATTTTTTGCATGGAATTTATTATTCATCAAAAAAGTTAAAATTGTCTTGTACTATATGGTATATATTTTTTCAGGCTCTCCGTGTGGAAATAGAGAGACGAGTTGAACGAGTTCGAGAAATCAAGTATGACCCCCTACTCCTCAGCCACGACCCTCCTGCGCCTAAAAATGAACAGGATCAGTACTTCAGCAGAATGAAGGCTCTTGATCATTTGTGTTACCTGGGTTTGTAAACTTATTGTGCTCAGTCATTTACTGAAATAATATCAAAATGTTTAACCTAATTACATTTGTCAAAACCTCTATTTTTCATATGTGCTACTTCATCAGATCTATTGTCAATCTCTTTCTATCTATCCTAATAATATATAAATGTTCTGTCATGTATAAATGAATGTGGATAAAATGATATGAAAGTGTCTACGGTATATCATGTGAGGTTAGGGGTATCATTGATATTCTAAAGCTAGGTAAGTTGTTAATGTTAAGGTCCTGTTATGCTCTGCAATCTTTCAGATTTGTTCACTCAAATTCACCCTGAAAAAATTGTTTACTTATAATTATTCACTTCATTGTTGTTTTACAGCATAATGAACATAAACTCAAACAAATCTCTAGAATCAAGGTAACTAACTCAATTATGCAATGTGTAACTATAAAATTTCTTTATCTAATTCATAATTCCCAACAGAAAGAGAGCTGTCCAAGCAGCAAGGTGTGACATCTCGTGTTCAGCATGAGACTTTGCGAGGCTTTCTGGTGCGGCTCACACTACCAGTACCTTTTGTGGGAGGTATGCTTAAGCATGATCTTATACTATTATATTTTGATGGAAACTAGGAATACTTGAAAAATTATGTTGTTTGGTTTTATTTATTTATTTAATTATCTATATGTTGATGATAGAATCATTTAATACTGTATAGGCTTCTTAAATGAACTCCTTGTTTTCTTATCTAATCCTCTGATGAAATTTTTCCTATTTTGTTTTTAACTTAGAAATAATAATAGGAATCTCCTTTTGCTTATGATTCTTCCACCTTGATGGGTTTCTTTTTTGACAAAACTAAAAAATTGATGGTTGTTGACCAAATAGCAAATTTTTCCCATTTGATTGATCTCTGTTAATGTCAGGTGGTGCAGTTCTTCAAGGGCTGGATCTAGCGGTGCTGCACCAGCTGTGTGACCTGCACGCACGCTATCACCCGCAGCCCTTCACCCGCAAGCACCTCACCGACACCCATGCCCTCATGCTGCAAGTGCTCACGTGGTTGGTAGCTTTTATTATCAAAAGTGCCCCAAATGATAAGAATCTATCATGAAGGTATCTAGCACCTCACCGACACTCACGCCCTCATGCTCCAAGTCCTCACCTGGTTGGTATATTTTATTATCAAAAGTGCCCCAAATGATAAGAATCTATCATGAAGGTATCTAGCACCTCACCGACACTCACGCCCTCATGCTCCAAGTCCTCACGTGGTTGGTATCTTTTATTACCCTCCTATTGAGTCAAAAGTGCCCTTATTATAAAAATTTAACATGAAGGTATCTAGCACCTTGCCGACACCCATGCCCTCATGCTCCAAGTGCTCACGTGGTTAGTATCTTTTATTACCCTCCTATTGAGTCTAAAGTGCCCTAAATGATAGGAATTTATTATGAGGGTATCAAGCACCTTGCCGACACCCACGCCCTCATGCTCCAAGTGCTCACGTGGTTAGTATCTCTTATTACCCTCCTATTGAGTTTGAAGTGCCCCTCCCTAAATTATAAAGACTCAAGGAGGGTAATAAATTGTAATTTAGGTAATTACCCTCCCTAAATTCTCGAGAATTTATTATGAAGGTATAAAGCACCTTACCGACAAACATGCCCTCATCTTGCTAATGATTTCCAAAAAATTAGAAAACAACTCCAAGTGAATTCAGCCTATCTTCAATGAAACGTTTTCAATGTAGATTTGTTGAATTTAGATGATTCGCAAAATCTTCAATGAAGATATAGGTAGTAATTTTTCTCCCGTATAAATTCTTGGTGAAGTAAAGTTTTATGCAGACCAAAGATGTAAGTGTTAATGCTTTCTTATTGAGTCAAATGTGGTTTTCTAATGATAAGAATTCTGTTCTGGATTTCTCGCAATACCTTCTTAATCCATCTAATACCTTCTTATTCCATCATGTACACGCAGTACCTTCTTATTCCATCATGTATATACAAAAATCATCAGATTCCCACATAACTTATTTGTTATATCCAACAATGATTTCAAATAGACTTGAATTCGCCCACTACCTATCAACTCCTACTATGACTTGATACGTTGATGGTCTAATGCAATGTTGTATTATGTAAATGTTTGTGATATTTTGTTAATATTTTTTATTTATTTCACAGTGCCAAGTCCAATGGTCGGAAACATCTGGGCAGTGAAGACCGCTTGCGTGCCTCCAGTGACCATGACTCGGCAATTGATGCCGACCCTTCAGAAATAGAGCAATCAGACGATGATGTGCCAGCACAACGTCAACAACAACAACAACTTGTTTACACCTCTTTACGACAACAACAAAAGCAGCAACAACTGCAGCAGCACAAACAGCAGCAGCTGCAACAACAGCAGCAGCAGCGACTAATGGTCAATTGAAATGTTTGTATTCTTATTTGACGATTTATGCCTTCCATAATCATACACAAAACCAAATACCATTAAATAAATAAGGTTTATATTTTTGCAAAGTGTTCTCTTGTCAATGTTATAACGATGTAATTACGTCTTCATTTGTCTTTAACTTTTTCCCCATGCCATATAGTTGTTCCAATAGACATATAGGAACTAAAAATATATTAATAATATATTTTTCTCCAAAAATATGACACACTTCCATAATTATTTGGGCACCTGAGATGAATTATTTTCATTTTGTCATAATTTTTGGCTTGGTCTTGTCAAAAATTCTTCTCTTGTGTCCTAAATTTGTTAACTTGTTCTGAAATTTGCCCCCGGCTACCCTAATTTCCCCTGTTACCGTAAAAAGTTTCCCTGTTACCCTAATTTCTCTGTTACACCAAAAAATTAACCCCGTTACCCTAAAAATTTCTCCTGTTGCCTTAATTTCTTCTGTTACCCTGACTTTCAAATTTCATTAACCGATCATTCATCAAATTTCAATAGCCGAAAAATAACGTATTTTTCTCTTACGTTTCATCAATAATTAATGGATGTAGAGGATATAAATGTCATCAAGAAGAAAAATAGATAAATATAAAGATCATCAAGCATGCTTGTTTTAGTGAATGTCGTCTGTGATAATATATTATTTAAAAACTTATTATCGAATATAGAGCTAATGATCTCGTATGTTATAGTTATCATACATTTATATGACGTTCTGTACGTCTGGCATGATGTAACATATCTCTTGTAACTCTTAAGGATTTTTATTTATTGTTATAATGCGGGTAGTAGTTATTATTTCTGTACTAGTTCGGGAATTTAGTTTATAGAGAACCTAAATTTCAGGTAAATATATATAAAAATTCTTGATTCTATTCTCACAACGTAAGTGATGGAAATCCTGGACATAAAAAACATCCAATTAAAGCACTTAAACTAGATTATAAATTAAGCTCATTTATATTGTAAACTATTAATAATAACTCCACCAAAATTATGCCTACCATAATAATGTCTACCATAATCATGTCTACCATAATTATGCCTACCATAATAATGTCTACCATAATTATGTCTACCATAATTATGCCTACCATAATAATGTCTACCATAATTATGTCTACCATAATTATGTCTACCATAATCATGTCTACCATAATTATGCCTACCATAATAATGTCTACCATAATTATGTCTACCATAATTATGTCTACCATAATCATGTCTACCATAATTATGTATACCATAATTATGTCTACCATAATTATGTCTACCATAATAATGTCTACCATAATTATGTCTACCATAATCATGTCTACCATAATTATAATGATTATTGGTGAATGTTGTTCACTATCTTCCTTATGCCCATGTCTGTATCTTGTCTTCAGTGAATTATTCAGCGAGTAATTATGTTTTATTTCGCCTGATCACAAATGGATATCTGACACACAAGTGGATATCAATGGATGGTATATCAACAAGTGGATATCAATGGATGGTATGTCCACAAGTGGATATCAATGGCTGGTATATCAACAAGTGGATATCAATGGCTGGTATATCAACAAGTGGATATCAATGGATGGTATATCAACAAGTGGATATCAATGGATGGTATATCAACAAGTGGATATCAATGGATGGTATATCAACAAGTGGATATCAATGGATGGTATATCAACNAATGATTTTATTTTTAATGATATTGCCAACTGAAATGATTTTATTTATTATGATAGTGGTAGCTGAAATGATTTTATTTATTATGATATTGGTAGCTGAAATGATTTTATTTATAATGATATTGCTACCTGAAATGATTTTATTTATTATGATATTGCTACCTGAAATGATTTTATTTATAATTATATTGCTACCTGAAATGATTTTATTTATTATGATATTGGTAGCTGAAATGATTTTATTTAATATAATATTGCTACCTGAAAAGATTTTATTTATTATGATATTTCCAACTGAAATGAGTTTATTTATTATGATATTGCTACCTGAAATGATTTTATTTATTATGATATTGCTACCTGAAATGATTTTATTTAAAATGATAGTGGTAGCTGAAAAGATTTTTATTTATTATGAAATTGCTGCCTGAAATGATTTTATTTATAATGATATTGCTACCTGAAATGATTTCATTTATTATGATAGTGGTGGCTGAAATTATTTTGTTTACATTTATTTTATTAAATTCCCAATGAAATTATTTCATTTTTGATGATATTACTTCCTGAAGTTCTAATTTGAACTTTCGCTTCAATATTCAAAATAATATTCATATACTTAGTGCAAAGTGTTCGTCTGATTCTCGCCTGCAATTAAGAACAATCTCAGTTCGCCTGCAACTAAGAACAATCTCAGTTCGTTTGATTCTCGCCTGCAATTGAAAAAATCTCAGTTCGCCTGCAACTAAGAACAATCTCAGTTCGCCTGCAACTAAGAACAATCTCAATTCGCTTAATTCTCGCCTGCAACTAAGAACAATCTCAGTTCGCCTGCAACTAAGAACAATCTCAGTTCGCCTGCTACTAAGAACAATCTCAGTTCGCCTGCAACTAAGAACAATCTCAATTCGCCTGATTCTCGCCTGCAATTAAGACCAATCTCAGTTCGCTTGCACCTAAGAACAATCTCAGTTCGCCTGCAACTAAGAACAATTTCAGTTCGACTGATTCTCGCCTGCAACTAAGAACAATCTCAGTGCCTGCAAATAAGAACAATCTCAGTTCGCCTGCAACTAAGAACAATCTCAGTTCGCCTGATTTTCGCCTGCAATTAAGAACAATCTCAGTTCGCCTGCTACTAAGAACAATCTCAGTTCGCTTGCACCTAAGAACAATCTCAGTTCGCCTGATTCTCGCCTGCAATTAAGAACGAACCCAATTCGCCTGCTACTAAGAACAATCTCAGTTCGCTTGCACCTAAGAACAATCTCAGTTCGCCTGCAATTAAAAACAATCTCAGTTCGCCTGCAACAAAGAACAATCTCAGTTCGCTTGCACCTAAGAACAATCTCAGTTCGCCTGATTCTCGCCTGCAATTAAGAACAATCTCAGTTCGCCTGCAACTAAGAACAATCTCAGTTCGTCTGATTCTCGCCTGCACCTAAGAACAATCTCAGTTCGCTTGCACCTAAGAACAATCTCAGTTCGCTTGCAACTAAGAACAACCTCAGTTCGCTTGCACCTAAGAACAATCTCAGTTCGCTTGCACCTAAGAACAATCTCAGTTCGCTTGCAACTAAGAACAACCTCAGTTCGCTTGCACCTAAGAACAATCTCAGTTCGCTTGNTCATGTTTAATTTTTTTAAATGTGACGAAAATTTAAGAAGTGAACTTAATGGACTGCGCTTATTAATGTGAATAGATGATTGATGTGAATATTATGATAATAGGTGATGTGAATATGAATATGATGCTAACATTTTAATTGATTAGAAATGTACTTTCTTTCTGTAAATAATGTGTACTTTCTTTAAAATACAAAAAAGTTTGAATTTGTTAAGCAAAATGGCTACTTCTTCCCTCATTTTGGTAAGAAATATGGGAAACTTAATTAATAATTTTCAATTGTCTACAATTTTGAATACGGGTAAACCAAAACGAAATTAAATGTGAATTTTTTATTGATCGTACAATTTTTATATGCAACTTAGTAAATCAAAATGAAATATTATATATTATTTGACGTAATCGAATTTAGTTAACGATTGTTTAATGTTGATTAATTACACTAAACAATAAAAAAATTTGGAAAAATTTTGTCGGTACAAAAAATCTCAAATATTTTATTCTGACCAGCAAATAAAAATTGAACAGGTATCGCACTATTTAGTTCTTATGCGTAAAAAGAAAATAATATTTACGGAAATATTTACATTATAATTATTCAAATTGAATATTTATTATTATTAATACAGAAAATATTCCAATCATTAAATTGCGAGAAAAATAACGAGCGTCAATTTAGCTGATGTTACTGACGTTAATAATGTTGCTGATGTTGCTGATGTTGCTGACGAAGCTGATAATGTTGACGAAGCTGATAATGTTGACAAAGCTAATAATGTTGACGAAGCTGATAATGTTGACGAAGCTGATAATGTTGATGTAGCTGATAATGTTGACGTAGCTGATAATGTTGACGTTGTTGATGTTGCTGATAATGCTGATTTCGCTGATGTTATTAATGTTGTTGACGTTGCTGATGTTGCAGGAGTGTTGCTGATGTTACTGACTTTGCTGATTTTGCTGATGTTAATAATGTTGCTGATGTTGCTGACTTTACTGATTTTGCTGATGTTGCTGATAATGCTGATTTCGCTGATGTTTTTAATATTGTTGATGTTGCTGATGTTACTGACGTTGCTGACAGTCAGGCTCTGTGATACAGCGTGACATTTAGAGATGTCAGCCCCTGACACGCTGTCACAAATTGCGTGAACTTCTGTCAGAAACTGACGCATTACGTGACGGCGGCAGCAATAACAGCAGCTGTAATAGCAGCAGCTGTAACAACAGCAGCTGTAAGAACAGCAGTCGTAACAACAGCAGTCGTAACAACAGCAGCTGTAAGAACAGCAGTCGTAACAACAGCAGCTGTAACAACAGCAGCTGTAAGAACAGCAGTCGTAACAACAGCAGTCGTAACAACAGCAGCTGTAAGAACAGCAGTCGTAACAACAGCAGTCGTAACAACAGCAGCTGTAAGAACAGCAGTCGTAACAACAGCAGNTGTAGGTATAACTTTACTTTTGGTATACATGATGTAGGTATAACTTTACTTTTGGTATACATGATGTGGGTATTATTTTTACTTTTAGTATACATGATGTAGGTATAAATTTTGAAGACTTTACAACGTTTTGAACTCGAACTTAGTTAGCCCATTGATAGTCTCATATAACTACGAGGAACTGTTTATAACGG